CAATCATCCATGTCCCAAATGATTTAGGAGTGCTGAAGGCATATATACAGGTAATAAAGTGAAAGGTATAACTATGTTTTCATCAAAGCTGTTGTAATCCATCTTTATTTGTGGGAGATACCCTAGAAATGCCCCCAGATCAACAGTGCTCCAAGGTTTCACCTGGGTACATGCTGGCAGAGTGATCTCGTATCCGGCTTCTTTGTGGAGTACTAATTAAAATCAATTCAGGTGACATGTCCTCCACTGGCTGGGTTTTCCCAGGGCATAACAACGAGACCGAAGAAAAGACTTGAAGGGGAATAACGTGCTACTTGTTTTTACTCCAGAAATCGCAGATGTCTGTTTCTAATGGATGAACAACTGAAATTTCAAAGCACTTATTTCAAGCATCACTAAGTCCCTTCCATCAAGCTGCGGCGTTCGAGATCTGATTAGCATGATCTCTTCTATAGTTGTGCTTGAGAGAATTCTTTCCTGGTGGTTTCCATGAAGAATGTCTTCACTCTTCCTTATCTTTGAACGTTGATAAGCCTTTGATAGCCCTGCCCCCATCTTTTGCACTAAATGACAGACTCTTTGGTGTGGTGTATTAAGTTTGTGTGGTAACTTGTGTGTCTACAGCGAGACTGTAGGTCCAAGGCAAAGATATCAAGCCTCCTGTTTCCTTTATGTCACACATGAAAGGAAGGAAAGAGAACAAAGAGAATAAAGGAGAGGAGAAAGGAAGGGAGGAAAACAAGGAGAAAGAGTAAGAAGGAAAGAGGAATGAGGCATGCACTGTTGTAGGTGGCAGGAAGGGCTCCATGTGTCTGACTGGTGGGGGGGGGGGGGGCAGGGGGCAGACCAAACCTGGGTCCAGCAACCTCAGTACTTGGGTTCTGGCTAGGAAAGAATTCAGAGCAAGATGCAAACTGTGAGAGAACATTTATTGGGTAGATTACAGAGGTAGAAGCAGTAATTCCTAGGAGAAACGGGTTTAGGAAACAAGGAGGTAAAGGAAGGGCCCTTGGAGCTTGGGGGTGGGGAAGCTAATGGTAATGTGCCTGGGGTGGAGGAGGGGGAAAGGAAAGGGGAGGGAATGCGGGTGCTCCCTGGAGGGAGAGGGGAGAGCACACTGGGTCCTCCATCCTAAGGATTTTAAGGGCAGAGATTTCAGGGGAGTTTCCCCGGAAAGATCTTAATAGAGTATTCAGCAGTTTTTCAGGTGTGTCCCTTCAGGGTCTGGGTCTCCACTGATTGATCGGCAGGCAAGGGGTCCAGGAAGCTGGTCCTAGCGTCAGCCCTCGCTGGTTTGTTGCTTATCTGGACCTGGAGCTGAGCTACAACTGAGGCCTAAATGTTATCACTCGGGAGGAAAGATCGGGGGGTCCGAGCATCTTGTGGGCTTCTTCGGAAGGAAGCTGCCCTGTGAAGGCCCCTTCTCAGGGGACAGCAATGGGCCGCCACATTTATCACATCAGACTCTGACTCTCCCCCATCCCTGCGGCCGAGGGACTGAGTGTTTCAGCATCTGAGGCAGGGCTATATCCTGTGTGAAAAGATTAAGCCATTCGGATTATTTTCATTATTTGCCCTCGAAAATAACTGAGAGAGTTAGTTAAGTGTGAGACATAAAAAATAAAATTAAAAAATGAAGAAATTCCCTGTCAAGCCACAGAGTAGAATGTATTTACAATACATGTCACCCAAAAGGACTTAGATATGGAATACACACACACACACACACACACACACACACACACACACACAGGCTGGGACAAAAGTAGTTTATAGTTGTTTGTATGGAAAATAATACAATAATTCATACATAATAATACAAGAATAAACCCTGTGTTCACAACTGTAACCTACTTTTGCCCTGCCCTCTATAGGAGAAAAAAATCAGACAACATGATAGTCAAAAGATTTGCGTAGCTACTTACCAGAAGAATATATTCTACATAGAGTGGCCATAGACTGCATTGTCCAAACTGGGACTACTTTTGAGGGTGAAAGGGGGCCCTACCCAGAATTATCCAGAACAGGAGTGAGCCAGGCTGACCTGACCTGAGACCTACCTTAGTATGGTAATGGCTTTTGTCATAAAAGCAAAAAATCCTCTTCGGATTTCTTTTGGTTAGCGAAAACCAGTACTAATGTAGGTCTTTTGTAAAAGCCAGTGGCATAAGTTTCAGAAAGTGGGGGACACCTGCATTGACCTTCTGATGATGTTTCAGAAGGGGAATCAAAACTGGCAGGAATTTCTTTTTCCTTCTTCACAATTTCACGTGTAGAAAATGTGTTCTCACTCCAGATCTTAGCCACCTCAGCCTATTGTTCTTCTTTCTTTATAAGTCAAGATCTTTCATCTTTTCCTTTTAAAGGAAGCACTTTGTGGCTTCTCTTGGGCATACCTGAATCGCCAGCCTCACTATTCTTGCACTTTGGGTCCATCATTAAGTAAAATAGGGGTGACTTGAACACAAGCACCGTGACACAGTGACAGCTGATCTGATAACAACGACAGTTACTGAGTGACGAAGCGGCAGTGAGCGTCTACAGTGTGGCAAAGGCATGATTCCCATTCCAGGCAGGATGGAGTGGGACTCACAAGATTTCATCATGTTACTCAGAGCAGTGTTCAATTTAAAACTTATAGATGGTTTATTTCTGGAATTTTCATTTAATATTTTTGGATCTTGCTTAATGACAGAAAGCAAAACCACGGAGAAGGAGGACTATTATAGTCAGTTATTTCATAGAAAGGACTATTAGGCTGAGCCCTGCAGAATGTCCTCCAGTTTACTGAGAGACAATGAAGGACATTCCAGGTGAAGAGAGCACATGGGGAAAATTGGGGGCATGTAAGTGAATGCATAATTTGTTCACTCTTCTCTTTCGCAACCCAGTCAATTAAAAGTGGGAAAAATGTGGGTGACCCACAGACCACGAAGTAAATACCTTACTGGTCTCCAGAATCAGCTGATCAATTCTGTCCACACGAAGTGAAAAGGGATGGAGAATTATCCAGATGCTACATGCCACGAGATAAACAAAAGTAGCTGAGGATTAAGTATCCCAGTTTACTGATTTTACCAGATGGACTTCGGATTGAGTTTCATAGTGCCCTAGGGTATGTCCCTCTGGATTGAGTTTCATAGTGCCCTAGGGTATGTCCCAGAGGGACCGCCACAGAAGCCACCCGGAGTGAGACCAAGGAGGAAAACAATGTCCCAGGGTCTCCAACCCTGATGTAACCAGAACTGCTCCTCTTTTATCTGTTTTCTGAATTAGCGTTTTCTATTTAAGATTTTACTCAGAAAGTCATTTTCCACGTGACAGGGCAGTTATTCTACTTTTTTAAAAATAAAGTGTTTAAACGACTGATCTATAAAGTGCAAATTCACAGAATAATCATACAGCCATTTATTGCACTCTGTGGAGACACAATTTAATCACCGTTAAGTAAAAAGAAAAATCGATTGATTTTTATTCCTTTGAAATTATAATCTACCTGACATTCTCTCTAGTCTATAGTGAAGTAACACCTACTTCTGATTTTTAAGAGAAGGAAGACGTCTATCACATGGTCTCAGAGATGAAGGAGCTTGTCAAGGCGCTAATCTTGCTTACCTCTCCTCACTCTCACATCCTGTACTGAGGGGCGGAGCAGGGTGTATACTTTGCACTGGGAACCATGAGCCCCTTCAAACCTGTCTCTGGGTTGCCATGCTGTTTTGGTGCCTGGGTGTGAGAAAAAAACATGATCTCATACTCCGCTCTCAGATTTCCCCATTTAGCCTCAGTTCGTGACTTTATTTGCATGTATTTACATTCTTTATTTCATTTATAAAATAAGTTGAGAGATTTTATAGGCCCACTTAACGTGCTAGCATGCAGGATGCCCAGCCATTTCTAGGTAGTTTATATATTCAAGTGATTCATTTCCTCTGTTCTGTCCTTCAACTCTCCTAGGGTCACAATTCTTCTTCCAGCAAATGGAATTTTATAGTTTTTAGCAAAGCAATTTCATAACTTCCTGAAGCAATAGATGTATGTATGTATATGTAATTAAAATTGAACAGATACATATATATATGTTTGTATACAAATATGATTTTACACATTACATATTCTATATTAGATATATGTATAATTTGACTATATCACCTGTAAATAAAAGACAGCAATCGTCAAGTCCCGTCCCCCCCCCCCCCCCCCGCCCCTTACTTACTAGTTGTAAGACCTTAGATTCCTGGACTGTAAAGTAGGAGTAAGTGTTATATAAATCATATTGACAGAGTTTGTATAAAGATGCATCATATTTGTATGATAGGATAGCATGCTATAATTGATCTTCATTTCTTGCCATTGTTCTTCCATGGCTTTGACCATGAACTGAGAAAATTAATTTTAATTAACTGTCGTTGGAACTGTTATATCCAGGTGAGCACTGTTTTTCCACGTGACTACCTTGGGAACCAGAAATTTATTTCAGTTGTCTTTGTTTGTGCAACAAAAAGTTATAGGCTACCACTATCTGGTATAGAATGAGTGAAAAATAGGATATGGTGTATTCCTAAAGTACCCGGAGAGGAATGTAGTATAGGACAAAGGCATCAGTTCTCCAGCCATAGTTGCCAGAGTCTGAATCCTGGTTTAGCCATTTGCTAGCTGTGTGACCTTGGGCAAGTTATTTCACCTCTCTGAAAAAACTCTCTGAAATAACTTTCTGAAATAACTCTCACCTCTTTTGCTGTCAAATTAAGGTAATAATAGAAACTATTATTGTGAGAGTTTATGAGTTTAAACCACTGGGCCTGGCACATAATACACATTACACAAATAATAGCTCTTAGAATTATCCCCTTGAGAAGGTGATATTGAGACATGTGCTAAACATGAGGGATGGATAAATGAGTGGCCTATATTCCACTCCAGACACTATTCTATCCTTACATTCAGTTATTACCAGTGGGCAAGCTAACCATCTGTTTTTCTCTCTCTGCTCATTTCAGCTCATCCATGGCAGTGACCATGAACATGACCCCACAAAAAAGCAGTCAACATAAAGGTACTTTTTAAGTGATAATTTAAGTGTATGAAAACAGCCAGTTTTCAAACATCGCTGATAGGCATATAAACTGATGGAGAAAGTGCTCTTCTCTGAACTTATCCCATAAAATAGTCATAAATATATACCGGAATTTACATAAAGGACACTCACCTTCTCTAAGGGGAATAGGGCTTGGGTCCTGCTGAAGCTTGGAGGCTACCATTTATTGAATATGTGCCAAAAAGGTAAAGATGCTCAATGTACATTTTACCATTGACATATCACAAAAACTCGGCAAGGAAGGTTTAATATCTGCATTTTAAAGATAAGTAAACCAGAAAACACAGTGGTTGATTTATTTTCCCATAGTTGTCCCCTGGTAAGTGAAAGAGCATGAACTTGAATCCAGGTCTGTGTGATACCAAAGCTGTGCTCATTCTAATGTGCCAATTACTGTTATCAGCATCCCAACCCCATGACTCCATGAGCCAATGATTCTGGGACTATCCCTCTACTATCCACAGATGTCCCTATCACCCAATCATCTGGAGGTCAACCCTTTAAAAAAACCTTCAGACAAGGGCAAGTAGGTTATTGAAGCTCATCTGTCTATTTTCTCAGCTCCACTCTTTCCCTTCCTTGGAACCACACTTTTTGGGCTCCTCTGCCCACTGGATTCTGAGTAGTTCTGTCTGGTGGAAAACAGTGGCAAGAAGTCTGGAAGTTAGAAAAAGAGAGAGATCAGAATATTTCTGTTCCTCCCCACTTTGAGAGGTAACTCCAGTGCCTCTGTAGTCCATCATCCTCCAGGCAACCCCCTGCCCTTGACACCAGTGCCTGCTACCTAGTCCCTCCTCCAGAATTCCAGCTCCTGACAATGGAGCACTGGCTCTTGGGTCCTGGCTATACTCTGTCCTCCCTTAGTCTGAGCCCTTGGACTGATGGCGGTTTCCTACAATTATGAATCTCCAAGTTGTCTCACCTTCCTGCTTCCCATTCCCCACCGACCTCTTTGACCAGACCCTGCAATTGACTACCTGGTATGGTCCTATTTTCCTGCCTGGCTACCAACAGATACAGAATGATGGAATGATAGTTATGATGTAGGTAGTTTTCTGGGGCTCTGACACAGATTTTCCCAGAAACTAAAGAATTGATGACAAAGAAGGAAGAGCACTGGTTCGGTAGAAATCTAGAGACTGGTTTCAAGTTCCTGCTGGACTTTGAGCACATCATTTGTCCCCTCTGGGTCTCAGTTTCCTCATCCAGAAAATGGACACATGGACACTTTCAAGTCCTATGAGATTAAATTTCCTGTCCTGGGTCTGTAGTTTTCAAAGGCATCACTGAACCCTTGCAAGCAGTGCCTGCACTGCCCTCATTAACCTCTGAGACCTTCAGCATAACAGATTGGGGGGGGGCCCTCCACTCCTGGTCTCCATGGTGCAAGTGGTCTTTCTCCTGCCATTTCCTTCCTACCCAAAGCCCAGGCCCTGTGCCCTGCAATATAACTCATGTAATATAACTCACTAACTCATTGTGAACAGTGGGGACCAGTGATTTTGCCCTGAAGATTTTCACTCAGAATTCTACTAACTTGGTTATGGTAATTAGCAGGAATGTACCTTGCTGTTGTTCACGTGGGAGCAGACTGACTGGAATATCATAGGCAGCTGCTCCTACCGAAGGCTGCAGGCACGCAAGCCCAGCAGACATCGTTATTAGCATGCGGAACAGTCAGCTGTTCTAAAGCCATCAGTGTCTTAGAAACCTCCTATGAGCCTCTGGCCTGACCCACTAGCTAGAAAGAGGCCCAAGGCAGGGAACTGCCCTTGAGAAAGACCCAGGAGAACAGAGCCTCAATCTATTTTTTTAAGCCATGCTCTCCTTCAGAAACCTCTCTTTTCCTTTCTAATCCAACACTGCAAATTAAATTTGAAGTGGATAAAGCCAATGCAAATATATTACGTGGCTATTGTGGATTTTTTCATAAAACAAATCAAAGCAATGATGTGCTTTTTCACAGCTGGTGATCCCCGTCTCCCAGGGGGTATGCTACATTTCCCCAGGGGTAGCTTCATCACCCCACCCATGCATGGTTGGAAATCACTGATCTGGAAGGAAAGGACTGTATCTTTCAGCATAAAAGAGACGTGCCCGCGCCCCCCTCGAGCTTTCTCAATTTAGAGGCACAAAGGAACCGTGAGGCAGTAGAGACAACTCAGGCTCAGGTGGTGGGCACACCTGGGTCCAAGTTGCAATCTGAAGAAATAGCAAACCCCCACCAAATGGGTTTGTTGTGAGGATTGAATTAGACGGGTGAACTGATACATGAGGTCAATAATACGTAGAGGCTTTTTCTACCTGAAGGGGCTGTGTCAAGTATTTTACAAGCTCACCTACTGCTCACAGTGACCCCACATGAGAGGTACACTACCCCAGTTTACAGAAGGGAAAACTGAGGCTCAAGAAATTAAGTCTCTTGCCCAGAGTTCTCAAGTCATTAAATGACCAAGAAGGGAATTAGACCCAGATCTGTCACACCCATGAACAGTGTTTTGGACCATGTGTTACATGCATGTTAGCGTCCTTCCCTCTGTCGGCAAAACTACTTATGCTGACACCCACCATGATGCCATTATTTCTATAAGAGCAGTTACATTAGTGTCACAGGCAGCCATAACAAAATACCATGGACGGGGTGCCTTCAACAACAGAAGTTTCTTTTCTCATGTTCTGGAGGCTAGAAGTCTCAGATGAAGGTTCCAGCCAGTTTTGTTTCTGGGGAGAGCTGTCTTCCTGGCTTACAGACAGACACCTTTTTTCTGAGAGAGCGAGCAGTGGTGCTTTTTCCTATAAAGACACTAATCCTATCAGATCATTTAACCTTAATTACTTCCTTTGAGTCCCCAGCCACACTGGGGGTTAGGGCTTCCACTTATGAATTTGCAGGAGAGGCACACGCATTCAGTCCATAAAGGCAAGAATATTGGATTAGTTCACCATTCTATCCCCTATGCTTAGTTCTGTCTGACACAGAGTTGATTGACACTCAGAAAATATTGACGAAATAAGTGAATGAGTTAATAAATGAATGAACACAAAATAAACTTGAATTAATATAAGACACTGATTCTAAACCTTTTCACCAGCAGGAATTCATTGTATTAATTTCTTCCCATGGGCCTTGCGCTTTGATAAATTTTGTCTTCCAAGCTGAGACTAGTAACAAATTGGTTTTTCCCATGTTTAATTAATCAAAGACAGATAAATTGCTAACCAGTACTTCTAATCAGCATGAAATATGTAAGCATTGTAACTTAGCTTGAGGTGTTTAATTCCAGGCTAACACAGATACAATAACCTGTTGGCTTAGGTGTCCTTACTGCAAGCAAATGAACAATGAATTACTCCTAAGACTTCAAATTCAAAACTAACTTATGAATCTGTAGGTATCTGGGGAGCCCATCTGGGGAAACACTCCCCTAGTGTGAGCCATATTATACAACAGAGTGGCATCTTATCGAAGATTTGGGTTCCAATGTAAGCAATTAAGAAAACACATGCATTTGGTCAAAATTATCTTTGAAAATGCATTAAATAACCCAGATTCAAGGTTTTGTATATGCAGTCTTCTGTAAAAATAAGTGTCTATAAATTTGCAGTACGTATTTTTTTAAAAATATATTTTATTGATTTTTTACAGAGAGAAAGGGAGAGAGATAGAGAGTTAGAAACATCGATGAGAGAGAAACATCAATCAGCCGCCTTCTGCACATCTCCCACTGGGATGTGCCCGCAACCAAGGTACATTCCCTTGACCGGAATCGAACCTGGGACCTTTCAGTCCGCAGGCCGACGCTCTATCCACCGAGCCAAACCGGTTTCGGCTGCAGTGTGTATTAATATGCAGCATATGACCAAGTATATTTGTGCTTACCGCAATTGACTATTGTGTTGTATAAGTATGTATAATTGAATATTCAGGATGCATGTATGACTGAATTGAAAGTTAGAAGTGCATGGGACATGACTCCATCATAATATTTTTCATATATACACAATAATGCACATAAATATTTAGATTATAAAGAATAATTAAATAAACACCAATGTACTTTCAGCCAGGTTGAAGCAATAGAACGTTGCCAAGAATTTTTTATTTCTATATTGTCCTCCCTACTAGCATTCCTCCATCTACCCTACCCTAGCTTAACACTGTCCTGCATTTTGCTTTGTTTTCCAGCTTCACCACATGCTTGCATTACCAAACAATACATTGCTTAGTTTTGCTTGTATTTGAGCTTGATGTAAATGGTATCATATGGTATGTGTTCATGTGATTTACATTATATAAATATGTTTTCCCCTAACATTATGCTTCTGTGTCTGTGCACGTGGCTGTAGTTCATTCATTTTACTGCTCTATAAGAAGTAATTTTTCAACTTATGGTGTTCCTTTCCCTGAGTGTAGTTATTTTTATCTAATTTACTCATGAAATGCATCAACATGAAAAAAACACACACAGTAATTACTGCAACCAACAACCCCTCATCTAGTGTCATTAATAAAATAAAAGTTTTATGTTCTACTCACATCAAAGTCGAAAGCAAGTGGGCAACCCTACTGACTGCTCTCCTCCAAGAAGTAACTCAGGATCTAGGCTCCTTCCATATATGACACCAAGATCTTTAACATCAGACTTCTGGTAGCCATGGGGGAAAAGATAGAACCAGAAAGGTCTCTCGGGGTGCAAGGGTGGCTGAGAAATGCCTCCTGTGTGCCCAGAAAAGGACCTGAAGTTGCTGAACAGTGCCATGGTCTTTAAATGCTATAAGAGGATTAGAGATAGGCTTGAACAGACTTTAAAAGCTATCTAATCTAACTTTCCTTATTTTATCATTGAGTTAGTATTTTCTAGCACCCACTATATGCCAGGCAATGGTCAAGAGACCTCTGTAGCATCTTGGACGAGGAAGTGCCCATTCTCTGCTTGAATACGTCCCAAGTCAGGGAG